GAAACAAGCAAAATATTTTTCTCCCACATATGTCAGCAGATGTCTAGTAACAGGGCGCTTTGTAAAGTTAATAGGAAAAATGTTACATGTTGCACTTGTAATAAGCACATTAAGTGCTGAATTGCCAGAGAAGATTTCTGTACAGTTGGTGGAAATAACTAGCGATATTTGAAAAATGTTGAGTTTTTTTCCCCATCAGGTAAAATAAATATCAACTTCAAAAATTGGGAAACATCTTGATTTTTGGCTGAAAACTGCCAAAAATCTAAAAAAAAAGAAAAAAAATCCCCGAGTTTGTTTTTCCAAACAGAAATCTAAAAATGCCAAGGAAAGTGGAGACTTTCCATTAAAAAAAGGTATTTAGTCAAAATGCCTTTATTTAAAAAAAAAGTTTTGATGGAAAATTTCTGACCACTCTTAGATTTGAGATTTTATTCATTTAATTTAATTGGCATGTCCAAAGGGAGCATCAATAGGGGTTTTTCAGCATTGGAGGGCTAAGACTTTGTAACTTTTGATTAACACTGTTTGTAGATTCTTGAATGTTTGTATTTGGCTTGATTTACATTCATTGTTGGATTTTTCTTCTTGCAGACAAAACGGAACTTCCTACATTTGTGGAGCTGGCATCCATTTCTGCAGGAGAAAATGACATGGACATTGACAAAGTGAGGTTCTTCCGGGATGCTGTGTCTGCCTCTGTTCCCATCTTATTCGACCTGACTCCTGAATCAGGGTTTGATGATTTTTCCTCAGCTCTGAGTCCCATCAGAGATGCTGTGGCAAATGACAATAACCTTCCAAAGAAGCTAGTAAGTTTTGCTTGGGTTTTTTCCCCTCAAAATAAATGTCTTAAAGGTACATTATGATTTGAGTTGATGTAACCCAGGTACCTTCTGGGTGTGGTTCACTGTCCTATCTAGTGGCACTTAAACCACTTACAGAGAGAAAGTCTTCTACAGCCTTAGCTGTGAGGCAGCTGGCTTTTAGCTCAAGCTGTAGAGGCTCATGCACTAAGCTGCAGAGGTCCCAGGCTTGGTTCTGCCTGTTAGCGTTACATTTGTTCTTCGTGGAATTTTAGAACAAGTAACTTCAGATGAAATCTAGATGAAATTATTACAAGATGGGTGCATAATTGATTGAAAGACCATGCCCCCAAAGTAGTTATCAGTGGTCCAGTGTCATAGTAGGAGGATGTCTCTAATGGGGTCCTGTGGGTTCAGTACTGTTTAATATTTTCAATAATGACTTTGATAACGGAGTTAAAATGTACAGAGGATACCAAGCTGGAAGAGGTTTTAAGGACTTTGGAGGATAGGGTTAGCATTCAAAATGACCTTGACACATTGGAGAATTGGTCTGACATCCATAAGATAAAATTCAGTCAAGAGAAGTGCAAAGTACTACACTTTTAGGTAGGAAGAATCAAATGTGCATCTACAAAACTGGGAATAACTAGCAATACAGTAGTACTGCTGGAAAGGATGTAGGCGTTATAGTGAATCACAAACTGAGTGTGAGTCAACCATTGAGGCAGTAGCAAAAAAAGCTAGTATCTTTTGGGGGTGTATTAACAGGAGAGTTGTATTGTGAGACACGGGAGGTCATTGTTTTGCTCTACTTGGCACTGGTGAGGTCTCACCTGGAGTACTGTGTCCAGTCCTGGGCGCCCTTTAGGAGAGAGATGGACAAATTGGAGAATTCCAGAGGACAGCAGCAAAATGACAAAAGGGTTAGAAAAACTGATCTGCATAGTGAGTGGAGACCTGGGTACATATTGTCACAGTGAGAAAAACAAAAAATTCAATTTTGGTTTGCACGTAACTACGTTTTTTTATTTGGATTTTTCAGTTTGCTGCCCCTCCCTTCTCTTTTAACCAGAAAAAAAAAAACAATTATTCATTTAGCTTTAGTTCTAAGTGCTTACATTTGAAAATGGCAGTAATGTATTTGGTCCCTTCAAAATGGTACCCTGGCTCTCCACACAGTTTTTGTTCTGTATAATTGTTTGTCATAGGTGTGATTATTTTTTTACCAAAATAGTTAACTCAGGCCATGTCTACACTAGACCTGGCAGCTAGACTTAAGGAATGCAACTCTTGCTACGTATTCTATATAGCTGGAGTTGGCTTACCTTAAGCCGAGCTTGGTGGCATCCCCACAGTAGGAGGCCGAAGGAAGCAAATGTTCCCATCAGCTTCCCTAACTCTTACTCCTTGCAAGACCAGGACTACCAGATTCTGCTGGGAACACCTGAGAGTTCAATTTATTAAGACTTAACTAAACTTGCTAAATCAAACTCCAGAAGATCAATCGGAACGCCGCTGTTCTTCCAGGTAGTGAAGAGAAGGCCTCAGGGCAGCCGTTAGCGTGGACATGATTATACTAGTGCTCTACGCCAGTATAGCTCATTCCTCTTCCAATACGGGAGTAACTAGGCTTGCATAAGCACAATTTCATCAATTTACCTGTGTTCACACTAGGAGAATGGTAGCTTTAAGGTGGTGTAACCCTTTTTTAAAAATTATAAATACTGAAAAGAGAAAACTCTGGCAGAGAGCTAAGCTGAGGTGAAGGAAAAAGAGGAGTCTAATAGTTATATATAATGTTACCTCAGTATTCCACTGGCCCCGTGACCAAAATGTACCAATCTATCATTTCTGCTTTTTAGAGTGCCTGCATGCCGCCTCCTCCTTGTCCGTCTTTGCAGATGGGAATGTTGTTAATACTTTCTCTCAGGGAGGCTGCAGGGGGAGCAAATACCACAGGAACTGGGGGACTATCGGTATCTCAGCAAGTGATACTATAGTGTTCTGGTGTTTAGCTGTATTCCTTCCTCTGGAACTAATACACTGATTTATTTTAATAGAAAGATTCCTGTCACAACAGAGAGTGGCTGCAAATGGTCCATGATTGTCATGGCTCTGTGGAGCGTTCCTCAATGTCTCAGGCCAGGGCCATCAATGGCAAAGGGATTTTTGTCATCTCCACACCTCAGAAATTCAAGGTAAAGTTCATCCGCGTTCTATACAAGGGCCCACATTTTTCAAGGTGTCTTTGGCTGCCCAATTTGACCTGAGAGAGGCTTAGTTTTGAAGAGTTGGGCTTGTAGGATAAAGGAAAGCGCTGCCAATATGGGAGGCTGTCTGAGAGAGGCTTAGTTTTGAAGAGTTGGGGATGTAGGATAAAGGAAAGCGCTGCCAACATGGGAGGCTGTCCTTTACATTTGAGAAGTCTCCTCATCCTACTTGCAGGCTATAGGGAAGCCTGTAATTGGAGTCAGTCTGGAAAGAGCCAGCCTGGAACAAGGTGGAGTGAGTTGTGCCTCTCTGCCTTAAAGAGCAGCCTGTTTTCTCTCACTCTCTTTCACTCATAGGAGCCTCGTGTGCTATTGTCCTGAATAGTCAGAAATAAAAATAGCGTCATGATGCAAATGTCCACCAAGAGTATTTATTTACTTAATTTCTCTGTGTGTGCTGAGAACATAACAGGAGCTCAGCACTGCCTGAAAATCAGCTTCCTTTAGAAGGGGACAGATTGGGCCCCCAAAATCACAAGTCACTGACTCTACGGACTAAGCATCATTCTTTTCCTCCATTCAGGCCTGGTTCATACTAGAAGCCCGAGACCTAAGAGTTGGAATCTGGCCATGCTTATCAGAAGTGACTATTGATTTTGAATGTTCAATCTGAAATAGCGGGCTTGGATAGTGCTAAAAATCAGGCTCCTTTAAGATATTTCAAATTGATCCCAAAAAAATCAAAGAACCTCAAATAATCCATTACTTTTGCATATATTTGGTTCTTTGTACATAATACCTTCTGAGATCTAGAATGATTCTTCCCCCTTTACTGTCTTGCACTGATAAGATGAAATGAGTAAATGTCTAAGATTAAAACCCTTGCAGAATAACAGATTCTGAAATGCTTTATATTGGCTTTGATGGGTGCACATGTTGGTCCCACAGAATTATGGCACTGCAGCATTTATCTTTCTTAACTCTGTTCCCCCTCCAGCCGTCTCTCGATACTTGCATTTCACTGCAACTGCCAGGGGATATCACTGAAAAGGCTGCTCAAGGAGATCAGCAAGACAAGATGGAGTCTAGAACATACAGCCTGGCTCAGCTGACTGAGCTGCAAAACAAGCTCATGCTGATAGCCACAAAGGCCGAGCAGGGGAGAGAAGAGGTGAACAGATTCCTAGAGGTAAACCCCAATCTGTGCATTAACACGTTCGTCTGAACCTTCTCCCGCCATCCCGACCATACCAACTTTTTTTTCTTTTAAACCGTTAGACATTGTGGCAATGAACAGAAAATAGCAGGAAATATCTAAACAAAATGTTTCAATTTGTGAGGAATTGACTTTTGGGGTTTTTCTGTGAGGGGATTGACCAAAAGAATTGGATGAATTTGACAGGAATCCATAAAAGATTTTTTTTTTGTTGACCTGATTTTTTTCGTGAAAAAACTTCAACCCAAATGTTTCTTCTCCCAGTTGTCATAGGGCGAGCAAAGGGGACAGTTGCTCTGGCACCCGGTGATTTAAAAGGATCAGAGCCTTGGGCCCTTTAAATCACTGCTGGAGCTCTTCCCATTGCACTCAGGGGGGTGCTGAGGGTTCCTGTCCTAGCTGTGCCTCCTTCCTTCTGATGTTCCCCCTCTTCCAGGGGGGAGGGGCAGGAGCCTGAGGGGCTCCCGCATTGATGAGGGCCTGGTGAAGTCTGATGCCAGCCCTAGTTGTCACTAACTCAGTTGTATAGTCTATGCTCAGCATCTACCAAAGTTTGGCCCTAAAAAGATAGGCTCTTGGCTATGTGAGAAGCATAGTCATGCTGTGTTGAGATCGGCCGAGATTCTTGAGTGGAGGAGGTAGAAAAACAATTTTCCCTATGGAAATTTTCAACAAAAACAGGAGGGAGAATTGTTTTCATTGAAAATGTTCAGGGAAAAGTTTGACTTTTGGGTGAAAATTCTAAAACCAAAAATTTCCAGCTGAAAACTCAACTGTTTTGAGTCTAAAATAAGACAGTATGTTTAATCAGTAGGTCTTTCAACTCACATTGTTTACCATATTTTTATCTGGACCACTCTCCTTTGAGGAAGGACAGTTTCCCCCATTGGGCAGAGGGGAGCTTAGAGACTGAATGACTTGACTATGGTCACAGTGAAAGTCTGAGGGACACCAGGGAATTGAGCCTGGATCTATTAAGTCTTAGGCTATTGCCCAAACCATTAGATGATCGTCTGTGTCAAACTGCCACTGCAGCTGTCTCATGGGAGTTGTTTTTTGAGTGTCTCATATTCCCATTCTTCTCTATAGGCTTGGCTCCCTTGCTGGCCTTCATCTCCCATGATGCAGTATGGTCTCTACCCATGGCAATGAGAAATAGTTGCATCATGGAAGCTGGCTACCCAGGGTATGTCTAGACTACATGCCTCTGGCGACAGAGGCATGTAGATTAGACTACCCGGCATAGGAAAATGAAGCAGTGATTTAAATAATCGCCGCTTCATTTAAATTAAAATGGCTGCCGCGCTGAGCCAATCAGTTGTTTGGCGGCACAGTGCGGTAGTCTGGACGCTCCCTGGAGCAGTCGACAAAGGCTTCCCTTGTCGTCCGTGGCACATCCAGACTGCCCCGCTGTGCCACCAAACAGTTGATCAGCACAGCGCGGCAGCCATTTTAATTTAAATGAAGCGGCGATTATTTAAATCGCCGCTTCATTTTCCTATGCTGGGTAGCCTAATCTACATGCCTGTCATCAGAGGCATGTTGTCTAGACATACCCCCAGTGAGGATAGAGGCATGTGGTCTAGACATACCCCCAGTGAGGAGCCCAGCCCATGGAGAAGAATGGGAGCAGGAGACAATGACCAAACTACCACTCCCATGAGGCACTATAGAAGGCTAGCAAAATACAAATATTGTGATATCCAGATACTAAGTATTTTTATGAAAAATCAAAATATTCTACAGAAAGCAGGTCCTTTTCATGTCCGAGTTCTGGTTATCTGATGTAAAAAGAGAGAGGCCCAAGGTGAACCCCCACTTAATCAATTATTCAGATTACCCAGGTCAAGTTGTAAAGCTCTTCAAAAGAAAGTATAACAAGCATGGTGCCTCAATGATTTTGAAAACAAGCTGTGTTCTATACCTTCTGCTTTTCCATTGTGTATTTGACCCAGATCCTGGAAAAAATTGAAATGGTTGGGAAGCTCTACTTGCAACTTCTCAGTGTTGGCAATATCCTTTTCATCGATTGGAAAGCTGAAGTTTATTGTGACCCCGAACACAGAGTAACAATCTACGCTGAGTTTGGAATAGCCGGGATCCTTGTTCAGAGCAACAAGCCCATCCTGGAAGAGTTAGACGGCATGTGCAAAGTCATGGAGCATTGCCTGGTAGAGTGGAAGAAATATCTAGAGACTCAAAGGAACACTTACAGCCACCTGAACATGTTCACTGCACGCCAGCTCTTCTACTTGTGTAGCAAGTTAGCTCAACTGCATGAAGGAGACACAGAGCCACAGGTTCTCAATATGCTTTCTGTTTTCAAGCATGATGTCACAGAAAGGGATGTCAGAGAGGCATTAAGAAGAGCACTTGAAACTCCTGCAGAATCAGTTGATATTGCCGAGAGAGATGATCAGGCGGTGTCCTGGAATGACTACATTGTTAAATTCCCTCAGCTCATCCAAGGCCTGGTTGAGTCTGGGTATAACGAATCAGTGGGCAAGGCAGCTCTGCAATTTCACCTGCCAAACGCAGCCATTACAGAACAAATGCTCATGGAATTCGCCTTGGATTATGCCGATGAAGCAGAAAAGATTGAAGACCTGAGCGAATTGTATGACAAGCAGAGAGAAGCCTTTTTGCAGACCTCCATGAAGTTTAAGAACAGGAACAGAGACGTGGATCCATCTGCTTTCCAAAGCCTTGCAAAAGATGAACTGGCCACTTCTTTTGAGAGTTTGCCATCTATCCACGCCAAGGTGGACTTGCTGTGGAACGCTTACTGCAGTAAACTCACTGGGCTGGTGTCGGACAAGTACATCAGCCTGGATGTTTTCGGCGAAATGCTGAAACACCTGACATCTCCTGAAACCGCCCTCATTGAGAGGAATTTACCAGTAGGTTTGGAGCCAGGAAAGCCTTACCTTGTGGCATGTAAAGAGGAGCAGATGTTAGTCTCCTTGCTAACGGTCTACAGGCACTCCGAGGGGGCACGTCTTCCAACGTATGATGAGGTGCTGGTCTGTACCTCCGACACAGAGGAAGAAGACATTGAGCTGATTGTGAGGAGAGCTCTTTCCCCAGATTCCAAGCACAAAAAGATCTACTGCTTGCTTGGCGCAGAAAAATTAGTTTACAGAGTCTCCAAACGGCTGGAGTCCCTCTTCTTCCACTTTGTGCAATCGTCCAGCATTGCCGATTACAGGTTTATTATCTTCTGTGATGCCAAAGCTCACAGTTCCTATGTTATGACGGCCTTCGACACATACAAAGTGTCCCTTTCCTGTGATTCGGAAGTAGAAATTCAGAAATACCTGAAGACGCATCTGAGAGTGCCCAGTGGGGTGGCACCTGTTGCTCAAGTCTTTGAAGAACCCTTTCAGCAGAACTTGAAGTTTGTATTTTCTGAGCGAGCTGGCATGGGTAGGTTTCAGTTGAGATCGAATCACTTGCCGTGATGAGTATGAATGGAATTCAGATTAAGGACTAGGTTCTGACCCTTAGGGCCTGTGAGATGGAGCAGAATCCACCTTCCCTGTCCCAGCTCCTCTGGCAGTGCCCCACTGTGAATAGAGAGACCCATGGCTAACATAGCGGGGTCAAGGTCTAGCTCAGGGGTGGGCAATAATTTTTGGCTAAGGGCCACTTCAAAAATGTTTGAAGTGGCCCTGGGCCACCCAAGGCCTAAAACAGAAGAGGCAGTGCCAGGATGTTTCTGGGCTTCCCCACCCCCAGACCATGATTGGTCTGGGGGTGGGGAAGCCCCTTTTTCTCCCCCTTTCCTACTAGGCACATATGCCACTGGCAGGGCAGGAAGAGGCTTCACACACTCTCCCGCCCCCAGACCCTGATTGGCCTGGGGGCAGGAGAAGCACAGGAAGCCTCCTCCTACCCTGTGAGGAGCGTGTGGCACTTTGAAGTGCTGCAGACTCCTTGCAGGACTGGGACAGGGTGAAGGAAGCTTCACACAGCTCCCCTGCCCCCAGACCCTGATTGGCCTGGGGGCAGGGAGGGGAAAGAAGCACATGAAGCCTCCTCCCGCCCTACTCCCACCCCGCAAGGAGTATGAGGCACTTCAAAGTGCCTC